GGGTGTTTTTGTTTTTTGCTGTTTGGGCGCCCACCGGCAGTTCACTCACTTGCTGGTTCGCCTGGGCTTGCACAACAACAAAAAAGCAGCAACAGCAAAAAAAGAAACACCCGTTCCGGATCGATAGATATGGGTATAGGGACTGTAACAGGATACTCTTACTACATAACCATTCAGACCCTGATATTATGCCCAAGTTCTTCCCCCGCCTGCCACGGCGAGCCGCAAGAAGCCCAGGCCATTCCGAGGCGGCATCCTACCTGGCAGGCTCTATAAGTTCGGGGATGCTGCAAGGTGTAGGGTTAAGGGCTGTTGGTTTGAGGGATTAAGGGGGGTTGAGGTTGATAAGGTTTCTTCGTGTTTAGGGTTGTCAGCTTTCGGTCAAGTTTCGTTTCGGATCTTGCAAAGATTTCGGGATTGTGGCAGAGGACTGTTCCCGAATTTTTAGTGTTTGGGTTTTAGGATTCGAGTTGAACCCCGAAATTTGCCACAAACCGGCTGAGGCTTTTGGGGTTGGGTTCAGGCGCTGGTTCGTGATGACAACGCATGTGGTCACGACTCAATAGGAACAGGTTTACCGGCACACAGCCGAAGCCTGCGAGGCGATCACAGCCCCAGAGGCTGCGAGCGCATGTTCTCATAACAACAAGACCACAAAACTCGAAATCAATGTGACAGAAATTCCTTTTGCCCCAAACCTTCTGCACTCCCAATGTTTTCACAACATCTTGAGGAAATATGTATCCTCAAGCCTCAACATCCCAAACCATGCCTGGAAGCAACCCTAAGACCCTAAGACAAAGGGTTCAGAGTTTCCATGATTTGAAGGGTGCTGGGTTTTAAGGCTTCGGGTTTGAGGGTTTCAGATGGTTTCAGAACCCACACACCTGAATCCTCCCCCCTATTCTGAAACCGTCGCTACCACCAGACCAGCAGAGCCTGCGGGGTTGGGGAAGAGCAGATGGTCTTCGCTGAGCCAAGACAGAAGTCGGCGAATCAACAGTCAAGGACATGCTGGAAATTAAAGGTTTCAGGGAGGGGTTTAGTACGTATAGCACTCCCTTACAACTCCTGCGTAAAGATTTCAATACAGTCAGGGCTCTGAGAGACCAAGGTCAAGGTTTGAGATTCACCCTTTGGGGTGCGCGACCTTTCGCGCTCAAGGGCTTTGGGTTTCAAGACTTTCCACATTGTGCACACCGCATGGGGCATGTTTTTGAATGTTTTGGAATGAGGTATGATGTGCCACAAGTGTTGATTTCGATTCTGACACTTGGTTCTCTGCAATTTACACTTGACTTGTTGGCCTAAGATTCGCTACAAGAGGGCTTTACGGGTATCTGTAGCTATATCTATATCCGGATCTACATCTATATCTCTGCATCAATAGCTCTGCTTTACATCTGCATCATTTTACTTCGATACTCCTTCGAGCACACAGGAATTCCTGGCAGTCTGATTACACATCTGCAATCATCACTACTCTACATATTTCATACCCTGAAGCTCGAAACGCTATGAGACTCGAGGCTATCGAAACTGTTCGGGGTGTGCAGGTGCACGATCCGGAATTACGGTGTCAGGAATAGGTTTGGAGCTCTCACTCACCCCTACGGACGGAAACTTCCTTTCCGGTGTGTGCGGTCGAGGTTCAGGCTTTGCGGTTACGGTGTGCGCTTTTGGATTTGCTGGTGGAGGATTTCTGATCAAGACGCCGGTGCCTCCCCATTCCGTAGTCGCACGAGCCAACCTCGGACAAACCATGCCATCTGCTCGCTGCTACAATTTCCCACAGGCGCAAGGCCAGGGCCATCCATAGACCTACATGAAAGCAGGGAGTTGAAAAGACAGATTCTATGGAGCACGTCTGGCTTGCCTTGAGATTGATTGTACAGCCTTTGTATACCCGACATCCGGAAAACCGCACCCAAAAACCCGAAGACTCCAAACCCTAGAACCTCACAACACTAAACCACATGGAGCCATAAAGAGTAAAACCCTAAACCCGTGATTTCACACTGAGACGCCCTGGGCCAAGTATTCTTGCCCTTTAGTTGCTTGAAGTTTCGTGTTTCGGGTTCGGGGGTTAGGAGTTCAGGGCTTACGTATGCAGGGCATGTTTCACGTCGTCGTCAAGCCGCTCTTGAGAATCAGTTGATGTCTGCGGCCATACAAACAAGAACAGGGTTTTGGAGTACGAAATCCTGAACCCTAAACTCTAAGCACTATACCAACACCCTATGGTAACTCATTGTTTCGACCTCTATATTGCTCCAAGTCACGGCCCGAGTCGGTGTTGAAGCGGAGGGCGATTCCCACCTCACCGTTCAGCTCGGGAGCAGCCTGCTGGTTTAAATGCGGCTTTGACGTGAACGGGCTTCATGGGCCGGAGTGTCCAACCGAAGCGCATCCTAAACCCTGCAATCGCGAAGCCCAAGGCCCTAAATCCTACACCCTAACACGCTCTGCACCCTAAAGCCCTAAAACCTACGCGAGGTCGGTGTAAAGGAAGCTGGCTAAGGTCATGAACACCTTTAGAAGCTTGCGCTCGGGCCTAATTAAGAGGGGTGCATCGTTTACAGGTTTCTCCTTTTAGTGGTTTGGAATGCAAGGGATATACGGATTTGGGGTTTAGCAGTACTGCAGTGTGTAGAGCATGGTCAAGGATCGGTGTTTACAGGAATCTATTGGGAACCGTGCAACTGACATATTGAGTTTTAGGATCATGGGTATGCGTCCACTTGTAAACGAAGCCTACTTGAGAAAAATGAGAGCCATGAGAGCCGATGGTAGCAACAAGTCGAAAGCTACCGATCAGAACAGCGACAGAAAGCCCTGAATAATTTGCCTTCAGATCGCGGAGCCGGACGGTCTGCCCTCCGTGAATGCCGCCCTCGGCCTCTTCAGGGTCACGGTACTTGGGTTTTCTGATTCGGATAAAAAAGAAGTTAGAGTCCTTGAGGGTGCCCTAGCTCCGGAACTCAGGCACTTGAACTTGCTCGAATCGGAAAATGTTCAGGCGACGTAACGCACGAACCTGCAAGGAAGCCATCCTTGCATCTCTACATCCCAGCCTCAATCAGCTTCGGGATGTGGGATTTAAGCCCTCGGAGCCAAGTGAGCCTAAAAATCCTGCAGCCTCAGCCCCGAGATAAACTAAAACTTTGAACCCTGAAGTGCTGAAGCCTTAAACCTAAACCTCCTAAACACGAAACCCTGAAACCCTACACCCTGGAATCCTCAACTCTAGATCGTGAAAATTAAGGGATTTGGGCCGGAGAACGACCAATCAGGCAAGACTCTCTGTCACAAACGGCTTCCCCTTTTGATGGGCCCGTTCGTGCTTGCTCGCTTCAGGCTCCGGCGCACCCCCTCTAACATGCCTCGCCGCGAGAAGCTGCGCGGCTGAAGGCCTTCGGCAGCTATCGAGTAGCTGTGCCGTCAATGCTACACCGTAACACCATAAACGTAGGAGCCCTCAACACTGAAACACAATCCTGCATCCAGCCCTATCCGTTTGATTGAAACTCGGCTGGCTTCTATGGTACCGGGTATGCGAATGCCAAACATGCTTCATGTCGTCGGGACCTCAAAAGACACCGAATTCCGAACCACCTCGTCCATTTTTTTATTGCACTTTGATTCCAGTTTACAGCGGATGTAGGATTTCGAGGTCACAGCTCAGGGATTTAGGTTAAGAGTTGAATAATACACCAGAGCCCTAAAGCCTAAACCCTACAGCCCAACATCTCTAAACCCGAGCTTTCAACCGGCTGAGGCATGCACGAGTTCAACAGCTTTCTCCATGGACTTTGTCACCTGGGCAGGTTTAGCCCAGGGTGTGGAGTCAAGAGTATTAGAAGGCGTGCCTTATTCAGGGCCCAACTTCAAATGGGTCTGTAATGGGTCGCGTCACTCTTGTCTCAAATTCCCATCTGTTTTGCTCAGAACCCGAAATCTGCATCTATCAAGGATCTGGCTGTCCAACCACAGCCGATGCCACCGAGAACGATGCAACACATCCTGAGATGCAGTCGCCCGGACTTTCGGGTTTCAGGGCTTGGGGTTCTTAAGCCGAGGTTTATGCCTAAGGGAATTTCAGCTTGCGTTTCATTGCTTTTTCTCGATGCCACGTCTGAACAGACAGTGCCGAAGAGGAACAGGACCAGTTTCAGCTTGCAGGCTCCGAAGCCCAGGCACTTTGGCGTTCGGAATTATTAGCATGTTTGTTTGTGCAATTTCGGCTGCTGTTCTAACCAGGTTCAACTAGAGTAACACGCACAGGAAGCACAACACACAGAAGAAGGTTCACGCCAATCGCATGCATGATGCGATCCGAATCCTGAAGTGGTCACCACGACAGTCCCGAAGACTGTCCAAGCACACATCAATCAGTTTTGACGTGTCCGGGATGCATGATGCCTGTAGCATACGCACTGAGCCCTGTGTGTCTTGAGAAACTTCGAGCTTTCGATGCATTTATCCATCCATCCGTCCATCCGTCCAACCATCCATCCATCCATCCATCCATCCATGCCTGCATGCACAAACAGACAGACTGACACAAAGAGGCAGAGAGAGAGAGAGATATATATATATATATGACGTAGATGCGTACATGCATGCATGCATATATGCATGCAGACATACTCATGTGATTGACTACATCCGACAGTTTTGTGCTGTCGTCATTCTCACCGTTCGTACCAGAGGGAGCAATTCGAGGCTGTTGCTGCTGTTGATACTGAATGCATACTGATGTCTTCAGTGGCGCCATTGCATTCGTGATGGCTTATGAGGCGACGGAGTGCATCTGCAAAAAACACCTTCCCAACACGTTGTTCCTGTGTTGTGTCCAGGCTCTTTGGGGTCGAAAGTTTAGCTCTGCCGGGCCGCAGCTCCCCTTCCTGGCACGGGCCACCGATGAAGTGGTTGATCTGCACCTAAGCACTGGAATCTCGGGGCCCGGCTCACAACTAACCAACAAGGCAAACCTTTTAGCTTTCAGCCGTCCAGCTGTAAAGGCCTATAGGGTCTTATTGGATTCATGTGTCGGGTTTACGGCGATGGCTCGAAGCAAACGCTGTGGGTACAAAGAAACACGGAGGATGATCCAGCTTTTGTCTAAGCCCGTATACACGACTATAGGTTTCACGCATGAAGGCTGTGTCACAAATCCCAACTCTTAGTCTTGTAGAGACCTTTCACCCATTTCACCCCCACCACCACCCCACCACCACCCTTTGGGATCAGAAAGGGCCTGTCAAAATCGTATACTAGGCTTGAAAGGGAGTACCTGCAGAGCAGAACGATCTAGGGGCGATCTGCTCTGTGACCAGGTCCGCCCACAAGGAAATGTACCTCTTTTTCCGCTTGGATGGCATCCAGCACGGAAAAAGAGAGGCAAAACACATGGCTGAGACGCTCCCAATCAGTGAGCAACATCGACACAAATGCCATGTTACCATCACAATGTTCCAACTGATACCAAGCTAACACATGCCTCGACACCTTCGGAATGCAACAAGACACGGCGGCGGTTTGGGACATACGACAGAGCTGGGAGTGGCTTGCTCTTTTGTGTTCCGTAAGTTGTGCTTTGTACTGCCTTATCTTGCGAGGCTTCCCGAACCGACACGTTGTCTTCGCGTGAACGGCTAAGGAAACAAATTTAGCAGGCCTCGGGCTTAAAGTTAGAAAGCTCTGCATGGCGTCTGGGTTCAGTACGTATCAGGGCTTTTTCCAGCATGTATATAGGTATAGCCAGAAATGCTTAGGAGCTTGGCTTAGCCAGCACTCTGGGCAGCTCAGGGTTTAGGGGGTAGTGGGAATGCTCCACGTGATGCTCGAATCGTCAACGTTAATCGGTTCAGTGAATTGTAACCTGACCCCACAGCACCCATGAGGCATGGGCGGAACTGGCTTTCTTGTACTTCTTGCAGACCTGCACACTGGCTTCTCTCAGCGCTCCGGATTTAGGGCGGCGGTTCAAGTTCAGGGCTGCATGAGTCGGGTTTCTTGCAGCTCTGGCCTAGCACAATGAAGTGCTACTTGTACCTTTGTACTGGCGTGTGGGACCACAGCACCGTACAGGATGAGGGTATCGCTTTGTCCGAACACCTGCAACCCTGAACAACAAAAAGCAAAAGGCCTTACGATGAGTCGAGACCCTGATCCCAAAACCCTTGAGCCTTAACGGCCTTAACGTGCTAGATCGGAACATCACTGCACACCAAGCTTGCAGTTCAAGCCCATGAACCCGAGTTTAGGATGTCTTTTGTTGTTGAAAGCTCTGTTTCCTCAGCTATCCGCGTCCGGAATTCCTAGTAGAAGGAGGAAGTGTGCACAGAACCAGGCACTCGTTCTTGATGGTTTTGGTTCAGGCTTCACCGGTCGGCTCGGACCCTATGGGGTGCTCGAGGGTTCGACAGCACGTGTCGAACGCACGATTGCCTAAAAACTTGAAGCGTGCCTCCCGCATTGCTCGGTCGACAAGTCCTCTGCAGCGGACCCAATCCGGAGTTGCTAATTATTGTGGGCTTGCCCGAAACGTGCGAGCACACTGTGTCGGAAAAAAGGGTAGCAAGACGACCAACAGGAAAAATGTCGAACGAGCTGCCAGGCCTCAATCCAATTTCAACATGACCACCTTGTGTCCTGAACCATGATTGGGTTACCGTTGAAGGAGCCATAGGGAAACCTGCATAAAATCAAAACTGGCTTCAGCAACGTATGCTAAACGACACCATACATGGGCTCATACAAACTTCTGTTACGGCTCCTAGCCTGCATCCTTCAATCAACACCCGGAAGCCCTCAAGCCCAAATCGCCATCATCCTGGTTCAGGGCCGAAGGCGCAAGGAATCCGAGGCATAAACTGTCCGAAGCGCAGAAAGACTCTACAACAAAACCACTGCCAACCTCGCGTGTCAGCCCAAGGCAGGATTTCCTGAACCTACTGAGTAACCATCTACACCCCAGTAGCCCCAGGTGCTAATCCCACCCCCCGGAACGGACCAACAACAAGACATTCTTCAAAGTCCTATACTGCCCTGAAGCGCAAAGAATGTATAAACTCTGAAGCTATTTAGGCACTGTCCTGGGTCTGGCGGGGACTGCAGACACCTCGTAAGGTTGACCTCGAGATGAATTTCAGCTGACTTCGTAGACTAGTTCTCCCGGCACGAAACATCTGTTGAAGCTAGAATATGCTACGATGGTTGATGTGGCAACATGCTACATTCTGTTACATTACATTACCGTATATTTTATACGATATTATTAGTAGATGATGTTACGGTATATTGTGATGCTTGTCCAAGAGTCCAAGACCAGCCATTCTGAAGCGGAGGCCTTGGCCTCTAGCGGCCTGCAGGCCTGTCGGCGGAATCCACCATCCTACTAACCATGAGTTGGCACGACAATACATGCTCGGATTTCAAGTCGCCGAATAACAAACACTCATGAGGTTCAAGCTTCGACGATGGCATCCCGTTCACTGTTGGGCAAAAGTTGAGGCTTGAAGACAGTAAGCTTAGGAGAGCAATCGCCAGCTGAGGGTTTCTGGCAGGCATGTGTGTGGGTGTGTGTGTGTGTGTGTGTCTCTCTCTCTCTATATATATATATATATATGTATATTCATTATATGCATACACATATGTATATACGCTTAAGCCTCGGAGTCGCACGATTTGTTTGCAAGGATGCAAGTCTAATCCAGATCCCTCATGGCACAAGAGCTCGATGCGTGCTGCCCCAGTTTCTGCATTTCCAATTCCAGACCAGGCGCTGCAACGACATGATCGTTCCCACCTCGGTGGCTTGACAGCGTTCAATGAGAGATCGGTGCTGGAGCTACTCCTGGCATGGCTCTGTTCCTGATTTGGGGTTGGGGCCGAGCACCAGAGCAAACCCCAAACCAAGCAATGAAGATGAGGAGTGGTTGGATACCATAGGAAAGCCACGCCAGAAGGGCTGAAGGCCATCAGCACCACGAGAACGACCACGAGAGTAACGGCGATGTAAGAAAAACGAGGACGAGTAATGATAGACAAGAACCAACGATAGCTGAATGCCGCAGCTGAATAGCGGTTGCGACGGTCTGTATGGCATCATCGGCGATAGTCAGAGACATCATCAACACCACAAGCACCATCACACGCATCATCACCATCATCATCCATCCATTCATCCATCCGTCCGTCCACCCGTCCCTCCATGCATCCATGCATCCACATATCCATGTCCACCTTCATGACCACCACCACCACCACCGCCACCACCACCATCACCATCACCATCAACACTACCATATTCTTCTTCATCATCTTCAACATTGTCATCATCATGGATCATCATGATGATCATCTTTCTGGTTCATCATCATCATCATGGTCATGAAGGGCAATGAAGGATTGAACCAGACACATAGAACTGCGGGTGCAAAGAGCCCAAAGCTTCACAGAAGCTGCAGAAGAGCCGCAGTTCTCTGGCTCGTCAGACTCAAGCTCTACCACACAGGGAGCACGCAGCGACTGCGCATGCGGAGGAGGCTGTGATCGTTGGGGTCCAGAGCGGAGGTCCGAAGCTGAAAAGGTGCAGTGCAGGGGTCCAACCCCAACCCCTAAAACTCTGATCTTGCTCGCCTGAAACCCCCACTCCCCGCAAAGCATTTTGAGCCCGATTTTGTGTGCCGCCTGAAGACGAACAAAGCCGAATCCTTAGCCCCCAGCCCCCAGCCAAGACACAGACCGCATAAAAGACACAAGCCCGAAGATCAAACCCAATACACCCGAGCCCGAAAGTCGAAAACTCGCTGAAGCGCCCAAAACCCCCCTGAGTTGTGTACTTCAGCAAGCCACGGGTCCTAAACAGACTCAGAAGCCAGAGTTTAGGGCTTGAGCAAGGTTCTTTGACAGTGAACCCAAACTTAACCCCCAAACCCAAAAAGTTTGTCGATTCTGAACCCGGAAGGTCTTTGCCTGCGTTACGAGCCCCATTACACAGTCTGTCCTGGCTTGTGGCCGGCTCATCTAAAGTGACAGAAAGGCTAGTAAAGTTAGTTAACGATCTGGGCTTCATGCAGGGTCCGGGTTTCGGATCTTCACCAAATTATTGGTGCTGCTACAGACCCTACACAGCCCAAAGCCAAAACTCGAAATCCTGAAGCCTTTTGCCCAAACCAGGTTGCGGAGCTCTGAACCTGTACTGCCTGTAGGGTCCTACGGTCCTACAGTTTGAGCTAGGCAAACATGGACCTCGAAAGCAACCTGCAGGGCATCCTTGTCGACACCTTCGGTCGAGGCTTCGCTTTACGTAGGTTCTTTAGGGCGCTAGACTATAGGCTTCACGCTTTCTTTACCAGTCTTGGCTTCTTCCATCAGAGTCCACAGGTCAGAGGTGTAGAAGTCTGAGGGCTTTGGGTCTCAAGTCTGTCGAACCTCAACCCAAAACTCTATTCACGAGCTCGATGCAGCATGCAGCAAAAGACATAAAATCTTAACCCATATCCTTGGCATTTGGCTTGCACCCGTGGACACTGAAGCCTCACTTGCACCCAAGTAAATTGCAAGTCCAAGTGGACCTTGCAAGGAACCCTCAACTAAACTCGAAGACCCTAGTAGCCCCAGGAAGCTTTGTTACCATGCCACATCCATGTTACCTTCCCGAGGGTCTGTACTTCGGTAAACTCCCACCGCACCATGTAGACACTCCTCAAAGGAAACCCGGGCTCTCTCTGCAACTTGAAAAGGCTGGGCTCCACAGGACCTTGACCCCTAAACCCTAAATCCTAGACCCCGAACCCTATCCCGACATCTCTCTTCTGCTCTGGAGCCTTCGAGAGCCTCTTTGGCTGTCACACGCCATCGCCGACCTGCATGGATTATTGGGGGAGCTTGTTTTCAGGTATGTGTGGGGTTGGTGTGGAGGGGGAAGGGCTCAGCAGTGGCGTTCTTGCCGGGTGATTTAGGGACACGCTTGCTTGAGGTGGGACTGGCGTTCTTGACTCTGGGTAATGGTCCTCACAAGGCTCCTGTAGTGAGTCTCTCTAACCAGCAACGTGAACACCCCTTGTCTAAAGGCTGTAAACCCACTATACACAGAAGCTTGCCCAGACTCCAAAAGGGGATTTGGGGTACAGGCCTTGAGTTTGTGCAAAAACTCAGGTCATAGGTTCTTCGGGTTTACAGTTTACATTCATGGACGCTTGATCTTTGGGTGGAGCGTTACGGGATCAGGGCTCGGGCGGTGCCCGTACCGAGTGGCAAAACACCAGGTTCGAGATCTTCAGGACGGTGCTTACAAGGACCTATGAAATGTCATGTCTGCTTTAAAGTAGCCCCTGGATTAACAAGCTGCTCCCCCCTAGGGACCCCAATAAAGCCCAAACATGAAGGATCGTCAGGATGCTTCTTTCGACAGGGGCCGTTTTACTCTGGGAACTACATGGCTGAAATTGTTGCACCCATGATTATTAAATCTCTACGCCTTCTAGGGCTGTTGTGCTGAAGCGTCTGGGCTCCAAGCTTTTGCTTCGAGTCTGTTTGATACAGGGCCCAAAGAAACGGAGAGCTTACACCCTTAAATGCAGACCAAAACCCAATGTCCCAAAGTACTAAACCGCAAACCGACATGCACAGAACGCTTAAACCCGAAACCCTCAAAACAAACGAGAACGCCACATGCACGAGCAACTCAAAACCGAAATGATAGAAAAAAGCTACAAACCATTTCACAGAGCCCATGTTGCCGAAAAGAGCCACAAATCCGAAAACGACCTTTGCTCCGGTGCGTGCAACGGCCTTGCAGCGTGAGGCTCAGGTCTTTGTCCATCCTGGTGCGCACCTGAAGCCGCACTGCTTGTGGGTTTGTTTTTAGAGATGAATTTCAGCGGTTTAGCAGTTTAGCGCACGTGGGTTCTACAAACCTTAAACAGCCCCAATCATTTGGGTGCCGATTAATCGTGGAATTTAACCTACTCCCTAGTTTAGTTGGTTTCATCAGGGCTATACTAGATCTTGAAAGCGTGATGGCCTCTCGAAAATCAACCCCAAACAGCCATAGACAGCCTGAGCGCTGTGAAACCCAACAAGACCACCTAAATCACGGCAATTAGCCAGGATGAGGAGCCACCGGCTCCTTAGCAGTGTACCTTTCCTGGTCGCGCAGCCTAGCCCTGGGCTGCGGTGGTTACATATTAGAGGGGGTGTGGTTTCTTGACGCTGCGGGTTCTTCTTCGTGGTTTTGATGGGCTCAAAACGGGAATCCTTGCTGCACACACCTGTAACCCTACATCCTGCAATCGAACATATTCCAGTCCGAAACCCTCCACGTTCGCGTCCTCGACATGGCAGTCCGGCCGGCATCACCAAGAAGCCCCCAAACCCCAAGCCCTGAGCAAAAACCCTGCGCCCTACTTGCTCTGCAAAAACACACCCACTCCTACAAAGCCGAGCTGCTCGTTGCAGCGTAGTATCCGACTCGATCGGAATTGTCAGTTTCCCCTCGTCGGCTTCAACCTCCACCAAACAAGAGGGGCCTTAATCGTAAGAATCGTCAGAACAGGATTTTACAGGGTTTTATATGGGCTTTATAAGGGTGAAGCTAGGGGCCCTTGCATTTGGAACAGGATTTTGTTTAGCATGGATATATGGGCACCACAAGGGATGTGATTACTAGGTACTAGGGTCTGAAAAGGCATTGCCAAGTGAGGGTTTGTGGTTTAGGGACTTGGGCTTTAAGGCCCAAGGCTAGAGTTTAGGGAGTTACCGATTCATTCTGTATGTCGGATTCAAGGCCTAATGCATCTAGGGCTCGGCGATGGTGCACCGGCGAATTTCGCGTTGGGTCTTCCGGTTCGGGGGATGTAAGGTTTTGAAGCTGCAGGCTGTTAAGGTTAGAAGGTTGCATCAAGGTAAAGGTTCATGGGTGCATGGCAAGTAAATAGATGAGTTTCTGCACCACCGGCTTTGGTCTACCCTAAGCCCCAAATTTTAAGCCCCAGACCCACAAATCCCTAATTCTCCAAAAGGCTCAAAACCACAACCCGGAGGCCCTAAATCCCTGAATCCCTAGACTCTAGACAGTAACTAGCCCCTAAAAAAACACATCCAATGGACTTTATGCACCTTGGAGTTTGGGTCATCCGTGTCTTGCTGCTTCAATATCTGTGCAGACCCTGATCTCTAGTCTCGTAGAGGCTTGCCACAAACAAAACTGCCAGGAGGTCCTTAAGCCCTCAGCTCCCAGCGTCAAGCCCCCCTCAGCAACAACGAAAAACAGCTCCAAAATATCTAAATTTCCGCAAGCGGGAAAGCTCTCAAACGGACTCTACCCTCTAATCTAACAATGCCACAAATCCCCAACGTTGACCAACTTGAGAAGCATGAAGCCGAAACCCTGGTAAACAGGCCGACATGATCGGACTAAGGCATCGGGGTATCCCATAGTTACCGTACTTTTATTCAGGGAACCACAGTCTTACCAAAGGCACCAAATTATTCGCCAACCCTCCCTCCCTCCCTCCCTCCGCCCCCACACCCTGAAGCCGTGCCTCTGTAATGAGGAAAACTCCACGGATCCAATGCTCGTAGCTGCTGCTGTGCCTTCTACAGGAGTTTCGGGGTCACGGCTGGGGTGGATAGGCTTTAGGGTTTAATTCAGAAATGGGATGGAAGGTTCAGGGGTTAAGAGTGAAACTGCCACAATCTCACGCCAACCTCATTCTGCAACGAATTGGGCCCCACTCTCCTTCACAAACCCTATCCAAAGGTCCTCACGCTCTGGTTCTACATCCTCAACAATATGAAGCCTGAGCTTACAAGCCAAAACTTCAAAACTCGCATGGGCCCTATACCTCCCAACCTTAAGCCCTTAAGCCCTGATCCAGGCCTGACCATGGCGGGCATGGTTTGGAGGCTTCGCTCCAGCTCGCCGGAGAAGGCTTCGTGGGAGGCGATGATGCACCTAATATACGGGCATACAATAGCTAGAATGAGGGCGTTCGAGCTTTATGCTGCAAATTAGGGGAGTCAAGCCCCATGTCAAACCACTTGGCATGTCACTCCTGAATTCCGACCTTCTCTCGAAGCTATGAAATACAGAGACTTTCTGGCGAGCTCTCTTCGAGTTCGGTCATTGAAACTGTGCCAAGGTTTGGACAAATGCAGAAGCATAGGGGGGAGAACTAATGCACGAACCTTCCAAAGACCCTCTCTTTTGGCTCTTCGGTTCAATCGCATTTATGGCACGCGTAGAGTGCACTAATCGTTAAAGTGTGGTCGACGGGCTGTGCACGTCTATGCTTTGCAGCCGATAACCCTGAATCTGCATGCTGGACCCCAACCCAAATTTCCGAGTATGCAGCACAACGTAATGCGCCAATGCCACTCCATCAGCTTTTCCAACACATGTATTTCTCCCCCACCCGAAAACATACACCCAACTTCAAAAGCAATGTCTCGCATGGTGTCAGCTGTATGTTGCTATGACACAGGCCCTGTTGAACTCCAATACGAGGGCCGGTTTACGTGGCAAAGCATTCAAGGAACCTAGCAGGCAAATCCGCGAGTCAGGATGCTTAGCTTACATGAGTAGGCACCTCTCCTAACAAACTGCATGCCTGAGCAAGTGCCTAAAACCGGGACCACTGGGACGAACTGCCAGCAGTCTGAGAGTCTGAGAATACAATGCTGCCAGAAGCTGAAGAACACCCGGGTCAACCCTGAATACTGGAACCAGCTGGGGACTTTGGCTGTGGGATGTCCCGAAACACTCCGGGAACAGACCGCAGCATGCATGACCATGAACTAGCGCTTTGCAACAGCGCTCGCTTCCCGGCACATGCCAAGCCAACTCCTTCTGCATCTTCGAGTTTAAGCATCCGGCCCAGTCTCGATGAGAGCTGCGATCCTCAAAAGTGCAAAACTTCTGTTCCCCTCAAGGCCAATGAAGTCGCTTCAGTCCTACTGCTTTAGTGGCTCATGCTTGTTCTGCGCAGAACTGTTATTACCACCACCACCACCACGACGACCACCACCACCACCACCCCCACCACCACCCCCGCCGACCATCACCACCACCACCGACCATCACCACCGACCATCACCACCACCACGACCGACAACTAGCACTATGACTACGGCTGCAACTACAACTACTACTGCTACTGCTGCTGCT